GCAAAAGGCCACAACTGCTTTACTAAGAATGTGACAATGAAGATTAAGTTGATTCCAGTTTCAGAGTAAATGAGAATAAAAGAAAAGAGAGACGTGGAAGACAAATTAAAGAGAGAAGAGTGAAAAGGAAATACAGGAAGAGGAAAAAGAGAATGAAATAAAACAGGGATGTGGAAGAGAAAGAGAGGACCAACAGAGCAGCAAGCAGGAAAGGGGATAGATGAGAATGAGGGAACAGAGGGATGTGGAAGAGAACTCAGGAAAAGGAAAAATGTGAGTGAGGGAAGAGAGGGATGTGGAAGAGAACTCAGGAAAAGGAAAAATGTGAGTGAGGGAAGAGAGGGATGTGGAAGAGCACAGAATGGAAGAGAAACAATGAAGAGGATAAATAGCAATGAGAGAAAAGTGTGGTGTTAAAAGAAAGGCAGGAGCAGAGTGAAAGAGAAAAAAGAAATATAGGAATGAGACAACAGAAGGATGTGGAAAAGAGCAGGAAAAGAACAGAGTGAAATAGAAACGCAGGAAGAGCAAAAAATGAGAATAAGGGAAAAGAGGGATGTGGAAGAGAAGAGACTGAAAGAGAAACACAGGAAGAGGATAAATGAGAATGAGAGAAGAGAGGGATGTGGACGAGAAAGAAAAGAGAGGTTTAAAGGCAAAAAGAGGGGAGTGGTGCAATAGAGCTGGAGCCAAATAGAGGCTGAGAGGTTCTCAAGTTTCAGTGCTGTTTCTAATAGATGGCTGCATGTCTTGCTGCAGAACAAAAAGGAGATTAATACAGATGTGCAGGGGTTGCAGTGGGATCTGTCTGAGTGATATTAAAATGTTGTTAGTGTCTCTCTGAACCAATTCAGCTCCGCTCCAATACGAATATGGCCTCTCCCGATGCATTATCATACAAATCCCACCTAAACATGAGATCACTTAGCCAGAGACAAGATGAATGTGCCTGCGTCTGGCCACTACAGCCCATTTTATCATGTACTTGCCCAGAAGACTCGCTGCATGAAGGCTCTGGCTAGAGTGGAATAGGTTACATTACATTGTGATAGATTACCTTACACAATATTGCAGAACGCAATTGAAGTCTATTTTACAAACTGCTCTACCACCTCCATTTGTCGCCACTGAGGGCCAATGTAAAAAATCGCAAAGTTCCAATAGCAACACCCATCATAGGATGCAAAGGCCATGTGGAGCGTGTGCTCACACTATCAGTGGCCCTGGAGGGCTGCTCCCAGCCTAGCAAACACATTAAGTTGGAGTCATAAAAACCTCAGCTCTCTAACATCCACTCTTCACTCTCCATCAGGCCAGCGGATATGACTGAGAATGCTGCCAACACGTAACTAAATGAGAGGACAGCCATGAGGTCTATAGGGATGCTCAACCCTAAGCAACGCTCGTTCTTCCCCCAAGCTTTGATTCATGGCCTTCTCATGCTCTCTCCATCAGCCCTTGCCCCTGGGTGCTTCCAACATGAGGGCAAATCCCCAGCACAAGCATGTTTTAAATTATATGTAATGGTCATGTTATATAACCTAACTGACCTATCCGTGCTGTGTCCACTAATGTGTTCTACCCTGGATACTGCTAGGACAGAACGCTGACAAAAATCCAATTGAAACAAATGTGAAATTGTAACAGCTGGTTAAATATGGACACTTAAAATTCATTATTTAGAATCAATTATTTATTTTAAAATTATATTCTTTCTAAGGTGTGTGAAAGGACACTCTGTTGGGATAGACTGTATGTAGATTAGTTAACCTCACAGTGAATCTAAATGTGGTAAAACCATATATGCTTTGTAGATGCTTTCCTTGCCCCTAACATTCAACTAAATGTCCACGCAAATCACTAAGGTCCACTTAAGGACACTAGAGTTCACCCAACTCAAATTTCCTAGTTGAGTCAAAAACTCTCTCAGCTACTGTTTGTAGGTCTACATCTCAGTTAGATAAACACAACTGAATTTGCATTCTTTTACTCAATTTACCTACTAGCTGGAACTCCTTCTGTCACACAGTCCCATCCATCATATTTGCTCTTAAGCTTCTAGATACGGACAGCTACAGCATTACTGGGATTCAAATTCACAATCTCCTGATGTTGGGATGAATTATTAGACAGCTGCACCAATGAGACCATGCCATATTTAAAGTTAAAACAATAAATATTTTCTCCAGTGTATTAAACTTTTGAAGACACAAAATCTGAGTTGCTTCATGTGTTCCTGAGTGGTACAGTGGACTAAGCTGTCAGCCCAACAGGAGGTTGTGAGTTTGAGCCCCAGCAATGCCACTGCCATCCATAAGTGCGTACCCAAGCGAGAAAATGTCTAGCAGGATCGTGTGATGGAAAGAGTCCTGGCTAGCGGGGAAGTCGGGTATAAAAACATGTTCGTTTTATTTACCTAACTGAGATGCAGAACTAAAAAATTAAGAGAACTTTTGATGCAACTAAGAAGTTTGAGTTGTGTGAACTCTTGTGTCCTTAAGTTGAGTCAAGTCAAGAAAAGCCATGTAATCAGTTACTAAATCATTTTGAGTTGAGCTGACCTCTCATTTTAAACAGTGTAACCCTAACCTTAACCTTAACCCTAAACCTAATCCTAACATTAACCCTGACCCTGTTCCTAACCTTAACTGGAGGAGATTTCCATCATTTTTTCAAACTACTGAAATGCAAACAAAGTCATACAGAGTGGTTAGATGAGAAATAGAGAAACTTCACAGTGGTGGTCATAAGAGCCAGGGATCATGATGTCTACTTGAAAATGTAACCATTTTATTTACTATTCAAAACAACAAGTGAACCTACACACGTCTTCTGGGTTTTTATATATTATGTCAATAATTCATGTATGGCTCTGCCATGAATGGATTTTTTAAAAAATTCCAAATGTCTTATGCCTTATGCCAAAACTTCCTAGTAGCTATCATAAAACAATGTCTTAGGCATCAGGCAGTATATTCATAACCACTTAATGTAACAACTTTCTGTGAGGGAGCTTAAAGAAGCATTATATTCTTCAAATGTCTGGCTCCTATCACTACCACTGTGAATCTGTGAATCAGATTCTGTAGGGTTTTCCAGAATAGCACACTTTATATCACACTACTTTGAATGACTTAAAGATATTAAAAGTTAATTATGCAATTTTTTTTAAAAATGGTAGAATTTCAGTTTAACCTCTAACAAAAACACTAACTCAAAGATTCTAAACCTACCCCTGGTCTAAAACATTTTGTTTCACTAAATTGTTTGTTAATAATTTGAACATCTGTAGATGATAAATGAAGTGGCACCCTAATCTCTAACCCAGACTTATTGGACTGAATAAGATTTTTGCCAACATTCCATAAAGCATGTCCAAACTCACAACAGTTGCTACAAAAAAGCACTCATTTATGGGCGGAGCATGGATAGATCAATTAGCTGAGCTTGTGCTATATTGAGGGCATTTGACACAGCATACATATTGACATTTCATATATGTAAAAACAAACAAACACAATATTCAATACTAGTGAGCTGAGATGAGCCCTGAGGCACACACACCAAGGCCTTGGATTGATTCCCCTCATAAAGCACATTGTGAAGAGTTAATGGCATGGACATGAAGTGGTCTTAAACCCTACACTGGTTTCTAGCAAATAATCAAAGAGAAATGCACTGGGGCAGAAACGAATGCAATGGCTTTGTGAAATACTATGGTTCTTTATGCTAGGCTGTTCAAAGTCTGTGGAGCTACAGGACATTCAGACTCAAAGTTGGCTAATTGCTAGTGACACATACAATTGATGGTCTGTTTTTAGCACCTTGCTTTCTAAATAAACAACCTTCTGGATCTGATTAGAGAAGTACATTTAATTAGCACACGGACTAGTGCTAATTCCCCACTGTGGCTCATCCTCTGGCTACAGCTCATACTGGTGCCATTAACATTTCAAGGGAGAATGTGCGTTTTTTTCTCTCTCCCTGCCCTTTGCAGAACACACTAAGTGATTTTATTACTGCCTGCATATCAGTTATTTTTCACTTTGAAAATGGAGCTAGTGCTCGCAGCACGCATGAATGTACAGTGACAGCTCCTTAACACAGGCAGATATACGGAGACACATGCAGAGCAACGTAAATATTGTTCTCTGCTTGAAGCTCTTTTATATCCATAATGAAAAAGACCCCACTAGAGCTGGCTCCTTCTTTTGCACTCTCGTTCTCCCAGTGTGAAAGCTCTTGGGCTAGTCTGAGGCCAGTGCCTTCAAGTCTACCTGCCGTACCTGCTGCAGTAGTCATATCTTCACTTATCTAAATGGGATCTCTTCCCTGAACCTGATCCTACTGACAGGGGGGAGCAGTGCCCTCTTCTCTCCAACTCTCCTCTTCCCACTCTCACTCTCTCTCTCTCTCTCTCTCTCTCATTCTCTCTAGTTCTCTTGATCCCTATGAGTAAGGGCACATATCTCCACTGAAACAGAACTACCACTAAAGCAAATAAAGAAGAGGACGAACACTAGTGGAACCAGAAACAATACCAGAAGCAGTTGTTCCAAAAGACTGATATGAAAAAAGCACAGAGCCAGTTCGGAAGATCCCTATCAAGCTAATCCACATCCGAGTAAACAGCTAAAGATGAAAAGGAGGACTCATGTGTGCTCTCATTACCATGCACAGCTAATGAGCACACCAGCACCAGTGCCATTAAGCCTGCTTGAACGGCTCTTTTGTAAGACTGAGCAAGGAGCAGTGCCTATGTGAGTATATCCACTGTTTTACATACTAAGGCTTCTTTTTCAAGGAAATTTACATAAGCAAGAGGAGGAATAGCACAGCTACTGTGTGGCTCAATGCACGGCAAAATAAATACATTTGTAAAAACAATCAGATCACGTAAGCTGATCAAGTAAAGCAAGACATAGTTAAATGCAAGTGTAGGCTGCTCAAACATACATTTGCAAACATCCACACAACTACGTCTAGAACATTCCACTTACGGGTTCTGAAGCGGTGGTGAGGCCGCGTTGGCTTGGTGGAGGGGCCCTTGGAGGAGCGTCCATGGTTCAAGCGCTGGGTCGGCCTGGCAGGGGCTGTAGGGGTGGAGGTGGTGGGCGGGGCCATTCGGGTAGTAGTTGTGCTTTTTGCAGTAGTAGTAGAAGTGGTAGCAGTAGTTGTGGTGGTGATGGAGGTCGGGCTCGGTGGGCCCGCTCTGGAGGAAGGGTGTGCATTTCGGCCCCCGGCTGCACCACTAGGCTTTCTGACCGTTGTACTTCGTGGGGTCACTTCCTTGCCGCCAGGCACAGCTGGGCGAGTAGAGGTGGTGCCATTGGCTTTCGTGCCCACCCTGTTATGGAGGTGAGGGGCTCGATTCCCTGAACCTCCTCCAACTGCACCTGCTGCCCTCCCCCCACTGCTGCTGCTGCTGCTGCTGGCTGTATGGTTAGAAGGAGGTCCAGCTTGAGTCCTCTGCACTGCACCGGTCCCATCTGCGGCTGAGCCAGGGCCCATAGTATTGGCCGGGGCTGCTGTGGATGCCGAGGGGGCATCTGGGCCCTTTGGCAGGGCACTGGGTTTGGAGAGGAAGATAGGGTCCTGCCCGATGCCTTTGGCGTCCACCAGGTCGGTAGGGACATAGTCCTGGACAGAGCCCACCACAATCCACTTGAGCAGCATCAGGCTGAGGCCAAGGCCCACAAAGCCCATCAGCAAGGGCACCACGCACAGCCACGTCTGCTGCTGGCGGGGCCACACCGCACAGGGGCCACAGCGGAGGGGCCCCGGGGCCCGGGGAGAGGCCTGTTCGCCCCCAGGCTCCTCCAGGGTCATGGTCTCCATGGTGGCCCCTAGTGCCGTTCTCTCGCTCATGCTGTCGGAGTTCAGGGCCCGGCTAGGGAGCAGCAGCAGCGGCAGTGGCGGCAGCAGCGGCGGAGCAAGTAGGGGAGGGGGCCAGGGAGGGAACCAGGGCTGGGCATCTCATTAACATTCACACACGCAGACACATACACATATACGCGCTCTCGTTCACAGCCACAGAGACACACGCAAACTCAGAAAGACCATTTTAACACGGAACGTTAGCCCATGAACAGAAATCCTACAAAATACACGTTAGCCCATATACAAGCCCACGAATAGAAACCCTACGCAATAATCTTAATGCAATGCAATAATAAGCACACGCTAGGAACAATTACACACACAAAAACAAATACTCAGAGAGCAGAGGTGAGAAAGGGAAAGGGAGGGAGGGAGGAAGGGGAGAGGGTGGGGGGGATCGAGGGACGTGCCTCTATCTAGTTCAGCGTCCGGAGAGACGGAGATAATTCCCAAGGCGCTCCGCGGACGAGAAAAAGCCAGGAGTAGCGGGGGAAAAACACACAAAACACAAGGCTGGCAGACGGAGTCGTTAGAAGCGTGCCGTAAAATCCGTGTGTGCGAGAACACTCCCTGCTGCAGCTCCTCTCCTCTCGCAGCTGCACTAACGCAGTAACCGTGGCGGCTGGCGCAGCCCCTGCCTCTGTGCGTGTGTGTGTGTGCAGTGGGGAAAAGCAACTCAGGTAGCAGCAGCAGCAGTAAAGGCTTCGCTCTCCCTAGACCCAGCCCTGGTTGCGGTCTCTTTGCGCTCTCTCTCTCCAGCGGTGCTCCAGCACACGCGCGCACACAGGGAGCTGTAATCTCCTTCCCCGAGAGAAAGCAGCCAAGCAGTGGACGGCACAGAGATGCACGGGAATCAGCAGGGTTAAATCCGTTTGATCCCGTTTTTTTCCCAATCCATGCCCTCGGACGGCCCCCTTCTGTCCAGCAAGAACGTCCAGCTGTCAATCCAAGGTCTGTCTGCACATCAGGGCTGAAAAGAAGGAAAGAAGTGCAGCCTCCAAGTCTGCTACATTCCCACACTGAGAGAAACACACACTAGCGGTAATACAGCGAGAGAGAGAGAGAGAGAGAGAGAGAGAGAGAGAAAGAGAGGGAGAGAGACAGGAGAGAGAGAAGGGATGGGAGGAGGAAGAGGGGAGCGCTGCTCTGAAAACTGATGCGGCTGCTTTTCTTAGGCTGCAGTGTGTGTGTGTGTGTTTGTGTGTGTGTGTGTGTGTGTGTGTGTGTTCCGGTGGGGTGGACTGTGAGTGATGCTGCCTTAATATTTCCTGAGCAGCCCCTCTCCTCTTTCTCCTGCCACCTCTTTCTGCAGGACAACAAACAGTGTCTGTTCAGTATGTGTGTGTGTGTGTGTGTGTGCATGCCTGCTCATGGGTAGAGATTTAGCAGGAAGAGAAACAGAAAGAGAGAGGTATTGCTCCCTCTCTTTCTGTTCAAGAGAGCACATGCAGAAAGCTGTGAAAAAATGAACAAGATATAGAGATAAGGGAGAGAGATAGGGCGAGAGACACAGAGAGAGAAATGGGGGGGGGGTGGACATAGAGAAAGAAAGAGAGAAGAAGGGAAAGAAAGGGAGGAAGAAAGAGAACGAGAGAGAGGGAGGAAGAGGAAGAGAAAGAGGGACAGAGAAACAGGAAGAGAGACAGGTCTAGAAATAGGGAGACAGGACAGAAAGAGATGAGAGTGAGAGAGACAGAGAACTTGGAGAGAGAAGGTGAGAGAGAGTGATGTCTGCAGTATTAAGCGCGAGACAGAAGCAGACACAGCATATGCAGAGTCGACTAAAGCCTCCAGCCCCGCACACAACACCCCCCCGTACCCCAGAGAAGGAGGGGTGGAGCGAAGAGAGGGATGGAGAAGAAAAAAAGCGACAGAGTGGAAGGAGAGGTGTCCTGTGAGAATGTGACACACAAAACTGGAACATATATGCATAACATTCAGGCTACTTGGTTTTAAGGTGATCAAATCGCAGGACGAACAGCACACGCACGCACACATACTAAAGAGTGCGATCTGGGGAATTGGGGCGGTGACTGCCGAATCCTGACCCACAGAGGCGGGAATGGCAAGAATAGCCTAGAGCTTTATTGGATAATTAGAACCCATGGTGACACCGCCTTGTGATTTTCCTCGTTAATAGACGGGGAACCCAAAGGGCGGATGTAAGAAAGTATGCCGAGTAAGCTGAAGCGGATAAGAGAAGTGTGAGGTGGGATATTAGTGTGAACAAAGGTGGCACACTTTCACCGCCGTTATGTAATCCCTCCCCATATCTAAAATACAAAAAACCCAGCTTACATAACAGCCAACATTATCCAATAGTATTTCAAACATCACACATCAAACAAGTGACATCAGTAGAGAATTTCCTCTACATTTTGCACCATCCATCATTATAGGAGTTATATCATTCCCAAAAATTCATTTCCTGCTTAGTGCTGAAGCCTGATGACCTGAAACCGGAAAGATTGACTGTCCTCTGGCTCTGTAAAACCGTTACCAGAATGTTGAAGAAACATAAGATTTCTCCTCATCTGTGTAATGCAAATTGAGCCGGCACCAGCAGAATAACAATGAAAAACAGTAGAGGCTGCCAGAAACACAGGGGAGCCTCATTTTGTCATATATATGATGATTGCTTTTCATTAGTGGCATTTCGGCAGAACTGTTGCCTGAGATTGCCTTATTTGTTTGCAGCCAGGCTGGTTAGGATGTTTAAGGACATCTTTCATTTTCAGGGACCCTCGCAATGGAGTCTCTCTCTCTCTCTCTCTCTCTCCCTTTCACTCTCTCTCTATCACTCTCTTTCTCTCACTCTCTCCCCTGAGTTCACTGTGCCACTTTTCCTTGTAAATCTCTTAATCAAAGAGCGTGGATTCAAAGAGCCCTCTCAGTCAAAGATGTCACGCAGAGCCGGCACATTCCTCAGAGGATCTCTAATGTACGAAGCGAGACGGGGAGCAGTTAACATGGCAACATGGTGGCTCTGAGTGACAGGTTGCCACGGCAGCACTACCAGAGGCCTGTCACTAAGGCTAACCCGGGCTACTGAATTATGAAATAGGGGAAGGAAGTGGGGCTCCTCTCATCAAGAAAGTGGAAGACAGACGGCAAGAGAGACAGGGAGGCAGAGAGAGAAAGAGAGAGAGAGAGGCAGGAGTAGGCATTACGCAGCAAGCAAAAAGAGTGCCAACACCCTGAAGCAAGTTGGAAACCCCAGCTCAGACTCGAGAAGCCTTCTGGCTGTTCCCACGGATTGTCCCGCGGTCCAAAATAAACACGCACACACAAAAAGTATGTACAAACTCAGGCCGCGCAAGTGCTCGGGCCCACTCGGAGAAACAAACAGAGGCAGGTCCGCTCAGACTGAGGGACTTTGGAGAGTGTGAGAGGCCCAGCTGGTGCTGGCATGAGCTGTGTGAAGCAGAGATGTCCAGAGAAGAGAGGGACGCTGGGGAGAGGCACACACAATCTGTTTCACAGCATCAGCATGCACTTACCACTGTCTGCCAGCAGGGGACAGGCATTTTCATTTTCAATTAATTAAGCGACCCATCAAAATGTTACCTAAGAAAGGCAAAGCTTCCTGACCCTGTTTGCAGTGGTGCAGAGTAACAGCAACATGCATTACAGTGTTATGGTACAACTTAGATCAATTCAGTTTAATCCAGTTAAATTCAGACCAGTACTAGTGGCACTGTAGATACACAAGCATGAAATAAAACTTTTCTGTCTAGGAATTGGAGCAACATATTAATAAAGCTAATAAATCTAAAAGAGGCATCTACATAAGAAGTACAATTTTTATCTTTAGCCACATTGTAAGGGCTCCTACAGCAAAAGTCAGACACCACCTTTGATTTTTTCAATTTCTGGTCAAAAAGTTTAGTCTTAGAAGTTGGTTGCATTTTATGCTTCTCACAATCCAAGTAATCCCAACACATTCAATGATACTAAAGTCTGGTCTCTGGGGTGACCAGTGCCCTCTGGCCAGACTCATAGTGTGTCTTCTCACAGTGAAAGGATGGACAGAAACACCTGTGGTTTTTTCAGATCTGAAGCAAGAGCAGAGTATTTCTCATGTCTGTCAAAGACAAAAGCTTTAGGTACTGTTTATTTGTTCACGGTTGGTAAGAGTTCAATTTTTTTCAATATATTTGAATATTTTTTTTAAATAGTTCTGGAAAATTGAAATTTTACTTATTTTCCTTTAACTTTTCCTTCCTTATGCAAGCCTAATTTGTTAAATCTATGTAATATTTTCTCAGAATTATCTTCTAATTATCTTCTGATAAATTGTAATTAATGACCATTTTAACTGACATGTAATAAACAAAGTGTGGTCTCTGACTTTTGCACAATACTGTATGGGATTATCATTTACATCTTCCTTGAATATGATATTTAAGAACAAGATATTAAAATATACATGTGGCGTTGAAAAGCAAAAATGATTCTGTAGCTGCTGGATGTGAGGTGTTGTATTTGGTGGGTCAGTTACTGATATCAAAGTATGCTTTTGTGTTTAAATATTTTTACATTTGAGAATATTTGTGGCAATATTAGCAGTGAGGTTTTTTCACTTTTGCTCATGTGAAAATTACACCACGGCATCTGTTCCTTGGAAAAAATAAATAAATAAACCAGCAGAACTTATGATTTGTTATTTTAGCCTAAGGGAGGACAATAATGCCACTTTCCAGAGCTGCTATAATATGGGAATTCAGTGCTGTGCTGTATGAGACAGGTTCTCAAACAGTTCAAAGCCTGTTCCATATTCAATAAAAATGTTAAAAGAAGTTGGATATTGACACTAATTACAAACTGAATAATTCGCAAAAGTCTGAGAAACGAGATACTTGTGGTGGCAAAATAAAATATGTAAATAAAGAATTAAAATCAGTGCTACTCTTTATGTGACTCCATGGTAACAAAACATGGCTGTTGACTTTTCAGGAGCAAAACAACTCTAGAAGGGAAAGGTTAGACTAATATTAGCACATTTTAACAGGTACAAAGA